CCCTCCCCTGCCCGATCGTGCGATAGTCAGTATTTGACAGGAACAGGAAAATGCACAGGAAACGGAAATCAGCGCTCTCTTAATATCCACCCCTCTGTGGAACTTCCGCTGCCATTCTTTTCTCTCCCAGTCTAACCGACGCCGTTAAGTTAAGCAACACGTGCTCGGCTGAGAAAAACACCAAACAAGACCATTCACGAGAGGTAATAATCTCAATTGTGATTGTCATTATAGCAGCAGTTTCAAGTAGTACAAAAGTAATTACCCAAATTTGGACAGAAAACGATAGGTAACGACATGTAGTTTTTAAAAATACAAACTGCACAAGCCACTGCACCTTTGTACTCGATCAACCATTATCCCGTTATTGTACATCGCGTCGAACGCGACCAAAGTTAGATCCAGCCACTCAAAATAATAAAAATAATAAAATATTAATTAAAAAAAACCTAGAGACGACCATTTAGACACTGTTTGTCAAACATCTCGTGGAGTAATGTTTCTGAATTGATAGGTGATTGAGTCTCTTCTAATATTCAGTAGTTTCAAGTTGAACAAACGTTTAACACAGAAGTAATGAACTGATATAGGCAAACACAGTCCCTAAGGGATAAGGTAGCCTGGACGTAGCACAGCTCTCTGGAGAAGATCTACAAACTCTGATCACGAAAATCTAAAAAATATTAGTTTTATATATTTAGAAAGTGCTGCACGATCGACATTTGGAAACCTCCTTCAGTTTGAAGGCTAGCTATTAAGCTAATAAAGTTATAATTTATATAATCGAGAAAACATTTCAGTCATCAATATATTCTATAAACAGTACTAAGAGGAATGTACACGAATAGTTGAAAAGCTTTCCGCTAATCTATCCCATGAAGGTTGCTGTAACCGGGAGAAGTAATTGCAAGCACCTGGTACTGGCTCTCGTGACTTCTCATGCCAAGTTTTCTCTTAGCACGGATAAAAAATAAATAAAACTGAAGAAAATAAATCAGACGACAAAATTCTTATTAACAAACGCTATAAAGGGCAAGGGTACAAATGCATACCCTAATTTGAAAGAAGGGTCACAGACAGCTATACTTAGTAATGTAAAGTTAGAAATAAAATTTCAACTATTTTTCTGTCTAATTTTGCTATTTTTAAGGTTAAAAAAATTACTTCAAGACGGGGTCAAGTGCAAACCAAAACTTTTAGAAGTAATTAACAAATATTGAGCTATATTTAA